AAGGCAGCTTACTTCATTTGCTTAAAGGTCTTACCTATATATTGAATATTCTTAAAAACAGAATAAATACTATTCTTTGAAAGTACTGAGGGATATTCAATGCTTTCTCAGCAGTTCAATGTTCTCTGATTGAAAATGCCTACTTAAACTCTTAATGTCATCACTGGAAAGAACTCCAGCATCACAACTAATCTACATTTCATTTTCTCTGATAGATGGCGGCTTCAACCCGGAGGAGGCCTACATGGTTGCCTGGCTCTGAGAACTGAATTCCATAGGCTTTAGAATAATTGAAACGCCCCGTGGATTCAGTTCTACAGCTAGGCAGCAACTAAACTTCAGAATGCTGCCAAGCCACACATATCCTCATGTGTCATCAATGGCCATCAACATGACTGACAGACCCACCCAAGTTGAGTATCTGCCACTCCTCTGGATCACTCCTGTTGGGCAACACCCGCTATTCTTCAATACTTACAGTGGCTCTGTTTTAAGTACTTATATGTACATATTCCATTTCAGGCCTCTGCAAGCTGATGTTCTAATACCTTGCACCATTTCCATTAAGTTTATCCAGGATGACCTTACAGTTTCAGCTTCTGAGCTCTGATCACTCACCTTTGCCTTCGGCTTTCAGGATCCCTCTCTGGATTTGATAATCAGGTGTCAAGGTGACCTGTATATTAAACAAGTGGATGGATTGACTATCGTGGCAAAGCATTATGAGTTTGCTGTAAGTTTTCCGGGCTGTAAGGCCAGGTTCCAGAAGCATTCCCTCCTGACGTTTTGCCCACATCTATGGCAGGCATCCTCAGAGGTTGTGAGGTCTGTTGGAAAACTATGCAAGTGGCGTTTATATATCTGTGGAATGTCCAGGGTGGGAGAAAGAAGTCTTGTCTGTTTGAGGCAAGTGTGAATGTTTCATTTGGCCACCTTGATTCAGTATTTAATGGCCTAGCAACTTCAAATTCAATACTAATCAAGCTGGCCAATTGCAACACTCACACTTGCCTGTTGTGAACAGACCTCAAACCTCACAGGTCTGTTGTGAACAGACCTCACAACCTCTGAGGATGCTTGCCATAGATGCAGGCGAAATGTCAGGAGAGAATGCTTCTAGAACATGGCCATATAGCCCGAAAAACCTACAACAATCCAGTGATTCCAGCCATGAAAGCCTTCGACAATACTAATTGTAGTTCTGTCTCTCACCTGGACATTCCACAGATATATAAATCATTTCCTAGTTTCCAACAGATCTCACAACCTTTGAGGATGCCTGCCATATTATGTAGGTGCAATGTCAGGAGAGAATGCTTCTGGAACATGGCCATACAGGCCAGAAAACTCATAGCAACCCAGTGATTCCGTACATGAAAGCTTTCGACAATATATGATGAGTATTCCTTGTTAATCATTAAATGAAAACATCCAGTCAGAGACAGGAAGAAATATTTATTGTATGACAGATTTCTTTTTTAAAAAAATAGCCTTATGCTGATTCTAAACATGATACACAGTAACACAGAATCAGACAAAGTAACCCTTCCCCCTGAATCCTCTCCAAATTCACATATCTCCAAAACTCTTATTTAGTTCTCTTCCATTCCTCTCTTCCTAAACAAAAAAGAACAAAGAAAAAAATGTTTATTTAGTTCTCTTCCATTCCTCTCTTCCTAACTGGCACTATCTAACTTTAATTGCTCCTATCTAACCTTTCCATAGACCAGCCATTGGGTTTTATACGTCCCGCGCTATAGGTCTCTGCCCCTAGATTTCATGACTTGGGATCGGCTGGCATTACCCAGCTTCTTGCTTCAGAACAACACACAAATTCTCCACAAATATAATCCCCACACATGTATGAAGGGCATTCTGGTGTAGCAGAAAGCTTTTCTTTGGATACTTGATGATCAGGACAAGCCAGATGCAAAACTGCTCAGTCACAGAAATGGTTAGAGGGCTTTGGAGAAACCATTCTAATTCAGTCTAACCAACCTTCAAATAAGGTTTCAGGTTTGTAGAAGTATGATTGAATGTAAGCTTCCTTGAACACTCTTGTATAAAACACCCTGCTCTGCCAGTTGTTCAGTACGTCATCCACAATGGATGTGAATCATTGCTTATTTAAGGATCACCCAACTTGCCAAAACACATAGGAGTTTTGTGTATGAAACAGTCAATGCCATTGTGTGATTTTGTACATCCTTAAGGCGGGGATCTCAGGAACTTAAAGATCTGCCATTGTTCACTAAAACAAGGTATTCCAGTGCAGTGATACTTTAAATGTACACTCAATCATTTTCAGGCTCATTTAACTTTGAATACTTATCACTATTGCTATTCAGAACAAATCAGGCCTGAGCTCTCCCTGGAAGCCAAGATGACTATACTGTGATTGCCATACTTCAAACATAACATGACAAAACATGAATTAATAGAAAAGACAATCAGGCTTGGAAATAGGAAAGGAAAATTACATTCCAGACTCAATCAAGGAAGCCACAGCACTGAGTTTGCAAGAGCTAAGCAGTAGGCTTGTGCAATTTGGCTGGAAGGTGACCTGGTTTTGCCATCCAAATTTCATTGGGTGCCCAGATTCATTTTTCAGTAGCCTCACGAAAATCGGCTAATGGAAATATCTATTTTTGGCTAGGCGGCCAAAAAAATCTGGGAAGATCCAGCCAATTGGTGGCAATGGGGACCTTAGAAGGCTCTTCATTCTGTTCCTGGAAGCCTTTCCTTTCTTGCCTTCAAGGAAGCCTGGGTTTGAGCAACAGAGTTAAGGAAGCAGTGCGTAAGACATGTCACAGCGTTCTTCTGTTCAGATTGGCCCAAAAGGTAGGGCTCACAGGGAAACCCCATGTATGTGGCAGCCTCTTCACATGCCGCATGATGCCAAATAGGGGAGGAGGAGCCTTTGTCACAGGCGCAGTTGGTGGGGACGAGAGACAGGGCCTTCTCAGTGATTGCTCCCCGGCTATGGAACTCCCTTCCTGGTGAGATCAGGTCGCCCCCCTCCCTCCTGTCCTTTAGAAGGATGGTAAAACCTTGGCTGTGGGACCAAGCTTTCGGGACAGGACCATAAAGCAGCAATAGGAAAGATGACCACGCCAATTAGATTTGACACGGATGACTAGGACGGTTTTAAATGGTGTATTTTAATATTTTGATAAATGTTTTTTAATGTGTATGTATGTATATGTGAATTTGTGTCCCGGCATTGAATGTTTGCCGTGTATGTGCTCCGCCCTGAGTCCCCTTCAGGGTGAGAAGAGCAGAATATAAATGTTTTAAATAAATAAATAAAATTTGTTGACCTGCTATGTGGTCCTCTAATGGATGAAAAAATGTGACAGTTGGGCCCTTAACATTATAGCCATCCAGCCAAGCTAGATTGGCCAAAGGGAACCGACTACTCCAAATCCACGCACAAGTCTACTAAACAGGGCTGTTGAAGATGGCATAACTTGGAGGTTTCTCATTTAAACCAAGATTAACAGCAGGTAACAACAAAACTATCATTCAGATATATTCGGTCTTTTAGTATAGATCAGACTTTTCCCCAAGCAGATGCCATCCGAATGTGCTGCAGCCAGCAGGTATGAATAACCTTTAATAGCAAATTGGTCATCCAAAATTTTCCATTAATCTAAAATTACCAGTCTTGCCTGCTCCCCTCCCCAACTGATGCCGCCTTGATTAATTAGTCACACTAAAAAAAGGAATTTTCCCTGAAAACTGTCAATCAAGAAGTGAGGTTTTTAAAAAAACAAAACAAAAACAAAACAAAGCCTAAAAGAAATTATTCCACTGGGTTCTTCCCATGTTGGAATAGAAGCAGGTACAGATTTTAATGCTTCTTTTAAATTAAAGTGTCCCAGGTTGTGCGTAACATTGCAGCCTGATGACCAAGCGCAACTCTCATGAATCTCTACATTATTAGTCTCACTCAGACTATAAAAGAATCACCAGTTGTGCAGAACGCTTTACCGAAAGTGAAAATCACACTAAATGTAAACTTGCTTTTTTAAAAATCCATTCTGATTTGATGGTAGCTTTGTATGCAAAATACAAGTGTGAGGGCAACTTTTTAGTATACTACCCTGTTGTATTTTTTGTTCAAGTTCCAAGTAATCCCCATTTGTTGTCGAAGGCTTTCATGGCCGGAATAACTGGGTTGCTGTGAGTTTTCTGGGTTGTATGGCTATGTTCCAGAAGCATTCTCTCCTGACATTTCGCCCACATCTATGGCAGACATCCTCAGAGGTTAAAGGGTCTGACTCCTCAAGTACGACTTAAGATGCACTGAACATAAGACTGCTGGAGACGAAATGTCAGCGAGGATGCAGAATATGTCTGCGACAGGCCATGCAGCCTGGAAAACTCACAGCAACCCAATCTCCATTTGCTTTCTATTGTTTCTTAGTTAAGTAGCCAGTGATTTCTAATTCACCAGCATATGGTAAAAGAGATCCTCTTCTCAAAGGAAATGGTGAGAATTTACGGTGTTACATTGTAAAGTGATACTTTACAAGAATCCCAACTATGAACATACAGTTACATATTGTGCTGACAATATGCAATGAGCCAACAACTGCTATTAACACAGAATCACTGAAAATGCTCCTTCAAGGGCTCCTTGAAGGAGCTGGGGGCGGTGATGCCTGCCAGGGAGCTCTGGCGTGGGCTGGTCCATGAGGTCATGAAGAGTCGGAAACGACTGAACGAATGAACAACAACAACACTGAAAATGGCTTAAGTGCTAACCAAAAAAGCAACATCTCTTAGAATACAAGACAAACTGTATGTATATAAACCCGAAAATTCTGATCAATAGCTAATACAAGTGGTTTAAAAAGCTATAACAATATTAAAGAACATATTTCCAATATTTCTGCCCCATGAATATCATTCTATTTGCAGCATTTGCCATCTCTGAATCTTTAAGGCTAAACAAAATGATACTACTTCATGAAATGTTGTTTAAACCAGTTATGTTATCTCTTTGATTTCTTTTTTCTCTTCCTGCTGAGGTCTTCACTGCTTTCTTCAGCTTCGCTAGCAGATGGAGTAGGTTGTTTTCTGATTATTTTCTTCTCTATCTTGTATTCTTGTTCTCCTACTTTAGGATCCCCCTTCACAATGAATTCCCCATTGTGGTAAGTGAGGGAGATGTCAGTCCTTGGATAGGTACCATAGACCCTCCTGAGATCATCTCTCACAAACTCCGGCACATCCCTCTTAGGTCCCACAACCCTCTCAAGTCTACCCCAACGAAGCTCCCCTCTTAGGGTGAACCCCTCCGGCCATACATCCCAGCCAGGTCTCTGGAATGCCGCATAGGGACGATAGTTAGCATAAGGGTTGTATAGAGGAAATGGGCTCATCTGAGGAAAGTGCCAAAAGGGATAAGAGTAAAAGTTGGGATTTGCACCATAGATGTGATGGTACTCTATTTGGTGTGCTGAGTTGTCACTGTAAGTGTTGTTATGGTCCATTATTACAGTGAAAGGCCTAGTGTAGAAGTTGGTCATCTGGACAGGAGGAAATACGCTGGCCTGAGGTGTTTCAGACACATGGCTTACTCCTAGGGGCAGATACAGAGGAGGAAAGGTCTGCATCATGCCTGGATAGTATTGAGCCATAGCGGTTGACAGGCACACATGCAGTTTCTTCTCAAGCTAGTGTCACTTTCTCTTGTAGCATGTCATTTTGGCGTCTTCTGAGCTGTGGAGACAAAACAAGAGCTCTGAACAACTCCAAAGATAAACACGCAAATGTCTATTTATACAGCAGAAACATTCACATCACTAGTTTTAAAAGTCAAGGGCTATATCTCACATATACTGTAAACAGAAGGAACTGGTCTTAGATTTATCCACAAGACATCTATTTCTATATGTGAGCTTCATCTCTGGGAAGTGCTCACACAGGGTGATATATATATTCTAAAGCAAATTATCCTTGACTTTAGATTCTGTTCATGCCATTCCACCTTGCCTGTTAGGATTTTTCAGCCATGAGTAGATACATAAGCCAATAATGAAAGGTACAGAATATACTGCATTGTTTATATATCATTCTCACAGGGACCAGGTCACGATCATACTAGCCCCCAAGACTTCCAGGCCAAAACCTGAAACCCCAGCAATGGTTCTTTTTGTTGTGCTGGGACAGATCCTGCTGGTGTTGGCTGGAATTCTGTATAAGCTATTTAGTTTAGCATACATAATTATACTGGTGGCGAAGAAGGTTAAACTTGCTGAATTTGCTGACCAAAAGGTTGGCGGTTCGAATCCAGGAAGTGATGTGAGCTCCTGCTGTTAGGCCCAGCTTCTGCCAACCTAGCAGTTTGAAAACAAGCAAATGTGAGTAGATCAATAGGTACTGATTTTTCAGGAAGGTAACAGCACTCCATACAGTCATGCTGGCCACGTGATCTTGGAGGCATCTATGGACAACGCTGGCTCTTCGGCTTAGAAATGGAGAAGAGCACCACCCCAACTAGACTTAACGTTAGTGGAAACCTTTACCTTTTAATTATGAACAATTGTTTCTCTGTTTTCAATTATTCAACTATTCACAGCTTGAAATCCTTCACCCTGATAAAAATTCAAAAAGCAAACTTTGATTTTGCAATTTTATCCCAGCAACACTACACTGTTATTATGCTACTGGATATAATGGGACTTGAACATCGACTCATTTTTGGTATCTTGGGATGAATGGGTGGGTGGGAAGTGTTCCTGGAGCCAAACTATGTCAGATACCAAGGGCCCTCTCTAACATCTCCTGGTTTGACCCAATTGAAACATTCAATTCTGCTCCACTTGCCAAAGGAATAGACCTTCCTTTCGTTATGCAGCTGAAGCTCAGTACAGTAATGGCAGGGAAGGGCTATGATAGTGCCAATAATGTTACAATAATGACTTAGGCTGAATATATAGGAGGGCTGTATCCCAGCTCCAGTGAGCATTAGTTTAAACCTGCTAACAACGCGCTTATCTGCTGAAAACCAAACTCAAAGTGGTCTTGAAAGCCACACAGCCCCCTCTCCTTGAAGCCACCTCAACTGTATTGGATTACTGACGGTCAAATGATCTTATTAGAGTATTCTTTTTCATCCTGTTTTGCATATACCTATCAACCAATAGCATTCCAGTTTTCCTGTCAATCTTACCACCCATCTGCACTCCTGCTGGGTGATTCTCCTGTCTGATCCCCTTCCTCTTTCACCTATGTGAGCAAACATGGGAACCTTAAATGTTGTGCCCTAAACTGAATGAAGACCTTTTAATTCTCCTGAGAGACATAGACCCATGGGATCAAGGGTGGGTGGTACATGGATTGACAGTGAAAGTGCAATGGGAAGAGACTTCAGAGGCCATTCCCTGTCTTCTCTCTCCATCCCCTCCCTCCATTGGCCCTGGAGAATCACACACCACCCTCCTCCCCCTTCATCCAATCCCCTTTGCATCTGGGGGCGGGGGGTGTTAATTTAATTTTGATGATGTTGCTTGTTGTTTATATTTTAGTCTTATTTTGCTGTAATGTGTTGTCCGGGCTTGGCCCCATATAAGCCGCTCCGAGTCCCCATTGGGGAGATGGTGGTGGGGTATAAATAAAGATGATGATGATGATGATCCACCACAATGAGTCAGTGAGCAAGCTAGTGACTGATTTATTTATTTATTTACCTTATTTCTATCCCGCCTTTCTCTACCCTGAGGGGGACTCAAGCCAGCTTACAGATCGCACCTCCACAGTGCCTTAAAATATACAATGACAACTTAAAACAACCGAAAGTAGAATAATGTATAATAAACATAATTAAAATACATTCCAATGTTATTACGCCATCCAGAGTAGGGAAGCACAATTGCCCATTCGATCCCTTTTACCCTGCCTGCTTATCCCAGTGAGTGAGTGATTGAGTAAGTGGGACAGTGAAAATTTCTGCTTCTGATATTCTTTCCTTCACCCATCCAACCCAATGAGTAAGTAAGTCAGTGATGACTTGAGAGAGTATTATTCCCTTTTCCACAACCGCCTGCCCCAGTGAGTAAATGATGAGTCAGGGAAGCATGATCTCTCAATCTGATCCCCTTTCTTCCTGCTTGCCCACCCACCAGAGTGAGTAAGTGAGTGATTGTAGGAGCATGCACATGTTCTCCTTCTTCCCAACCCCATCATCTAATCCCTATTACCCCTTCTATGCATCCACCCTATTGAATGAGCTGGGCACCCCTCACCCTCACAGACATGGAGAAATGTCTGGATATAATAAAATGTAATAATTAATATGCAATCAAATGTAAAACACACACAATTCTCCTTGCAATCAGAATAGAGCTGAATGACATTTGAATCCCTGTCTGTTTCCCAGTGGTGATTCATAAGAAATAGGAATTGCTCTGAGATCTGGCAACCCTTCAGTATTCAATCAGTGACGGACAGCCTGGAGAAGGCCACTCCTCCTTGGCTCAAAAAATGCAGGAGATACTAACAATTTTCTGCATTTCTGCCTGGAAATGCAGTGTGTGGTCTAGCATAAGGGCAAATCTGGAATTTATCACTGTTGGTCAAAGACAAATGAATGTCACAAATCTGTATTATTTATTTATTTATTTGCAGTATTTATATTCCGCCCTTCTCACCCCACAGGGGACTCAGGGCGGATTACAATGCACATATACATGGCAAACATTCAATGCCATTAGACATACAACATATATAGACAGACACAGAGGCAATTTAACATTCCAGCTTTTCGGCTTCATGAGGGTATGCTCGATTCTGGCCACAGGGGGAGCTGCCACTTCACCATCCACTTGTGACACCGAGTCCTTGATGGAGTACTTCCTCATTCTTACGTATGCTGCTGGAAGGTTTCATGGTGTCGTGAATTAAATTAGCCTCCCTGCATAAAGCGGTACTTCCTCATTCTTATGCACACTGCTGGAAGGTTTTATGGTGTCATAAATTAGTTAAATTAGCCTTCCTGCATAAAGCAATACCTAAATTTCCTACTTGACAGATGCAACTGTCTTTCAGGCTGCATAGGTCAACAGCAAGCTAGATTATTAATGGTTGGGAGCTCACTCTGACCCGGGCTGGCTTCGAACTCATGACCTCTCGGTCAGCAGTGATTTAATGCAGCTGGCTACTAACTAGCTGCTCCACAGCCCGTATTAGCACAAAGTGCTGAATTAGCCACTGTTATATGATGTGAACCTTGGGTTTTTAAAAAAATATTAGTAAAATCATACAGTTTAGAGATGTGTATGAGTAAAATGGGCCCCCTTGTGATGCAGCATTTTAAACCTCTGAGATGCTGAACTTGCTGACCAAAAGGTTGACGGTTCAAATCCAGGGAGTGGGGTAAGCTCCTGCTGTTAGCCCCAGCTTCTGCCAGCCTAGTAGTTTGAAAACATGCAAATGTGAGTAGATCAATAGGTACCGCTTCTGTGGGAAGGCAGCAGCACTCTATGCTGTCATGCTGGCTATATGACCTTAGAGGTGTCTATGGACAACGCCGGCTCTTCGGCTTAGAAATGGAGATGAGCACCAACCCCCAAGGTCTTGACCTGCTTGTGGAAGGCAAAAGGGGATGGGGCCATCCTGGTCTCTCTGGAGTGGGTGGTGGGACAGAGGAAAGGCCCTCCCCAGATGACTGTAAATTTCTGACAGGTTTGTAGAGAGAGATATGGTCCTTCAAATAATTTGGACCTAAGCCATATAGGGCATTATAGGTCAAAACGAGATGTCTCTCTCTCACACACACCATCTTTTCCTGCTAACAAAGATGTCTGATAATAGCTAGTTAATCTATTTATGTGATGCTCACAATGTATCTCATAAGTAAAGGTAAAGGTTTCCCCTTGACATTAAGTCTAGTTGTGTTCGACTCTGGAGGGCGATGCTCATCTCAATTTCTAAGCTGAAGAGCCAGCGTTGTCCATAGACGTCTCCAAGGTCATGTGGCCAGCATGACTCCATGGAGCGCCGTTACCTTCCTGCTGGAGCGGTACCTATTGATCTATTCACATTTGCATTTTTTCGAACTGCTAAGTTGCCAGAAGCTGGGCCTAACAGCAGAAGCTCATCCTGCTTCCCGGATTCGAACCACCAACCTTTTGGTCAGCAAGTTCAGCAGCTTAGCGGTTTAACTCGCTGGAAATAATTTTTAAAAAGTATTGAATGTTGCAAAATCAACAATTCAAATAGGTCAATGTACACATTTAGTGTTATAATAAAATTGCCCAGTCCATCAGGCAATTTATAGCTTCCTAGCCCATGTAGACCACCCTCCTAGTCAAACAGCAACATTTTGTTGTTCTTTTTTAAACAAACCGATCTCATGCATGTTTAAGTGAATCCTACTAAGTTCAATGAGACTTGTGACTGAGATACTCATGCTGCAAATCAGGCTAAGCATTTCCTTGTTCTACTCTCAGGAACCTGCAAAAGTTAGCAAGTCAAACTGAGAAACGAAGGCTTGCTGTTTTGCTAAAGAACGTGATAAATACCAGAGTGCATCACATGCTTAACCACAAAAGACTATGGAAGACTTTACAAACAAAGCTTTCACAATGACATGTCCCAAACAATATATTACAGTATTCAAGTGACCATGGAACCCGTTGGGGCCTGTCTTGCTTATTCATGTTGGCTTTGACTGATAAGCAGAAACTAGAAAGCATTCATAAAACATGTTTT